GTAATCCGCTCGCTCTCAATGCCCCAAACCCTGGTATAGGGTTTCAAAATAAGGCTGGATTATCACCACTTTTGAGAGTGAAAAATGTCGGTAATGCCCAGCAGCCTGGTCTTTTGTTACAGGGCTCCGTTTCCTTTGTCCGAGTTCGGAGACCCCGGCCACCCATATAAACCATACGTCTCCGATCCCGGAGCCCCCGGCAGGAAGTGGTTAACAATCCCTAACCAGTCAAACTTCAACACCAGTAAGGTATTTGAATTTGTGGAATTAGGTACTGGGAACTTGTTAAAATAACGGTGTTGGATTTTGACTAAATAGGAACTGTAGCCCTCTCACTTTTTACCATCAAGACTTTCAAATGAGTATTGTACTTTTGAAGATTATGTAAGAATAGAAAGCTTCCTAATCTTCCTTGTTTTTGACCACAATGATCCCAGCAGTTGGGTATAGATATGCAGCATGATAGTGTGTGCGTTTGTTTGAATAGGTACTGCCTGTCCATACTCTTTACATTGTGCAATAAGCCTGCTGTACCCAATCAAACAAAATCACACAGGTGAAGTGTTCTGTTGGAGTCTCTGTGATTGGGTACTGTAAAGTAGGAGTTTGATTTCAAGGTGTTGGAGTTTGTGTGATTAGAGAGGGATACCACCAGCAGCCCTTGGGCAGTGAGGGTTAATTGTAGAAAGGGTGGAAAGGTCACTCAGTGCAGTGTCGCGGACGCAGATACTTGTTGGGAAAGTGCAGAAATGCACACTCCCTAGAACTCACCTCGCCTTTCCACATGCATTTAAAATGGAAGTGGAAAACTAGGCCTATAACTGAAGGAGGGTACGTTAAGTTGGAACATAAATATGCTGTTGTGTACCTCATCAGAATTTAAAACTGAGGCGAAGTGCAGATTTTCACCCTGAAGGGTCTTGTCAGAGTTAAGGGTGACACGTTTACACGTTTAAATGTTAAAACAAAAAAAATTGCCATAGGGGGCAGGAAGTCATTTTGTGCAAGTCCAAGTGAAGTCACAAGTCATTATATGCAAATCCAAGTCAAGTCACAAGTCATTTGGTCACAAGGCAAGTCAAGTCACACATCATTTGGTCTAAACACAAGTCAAGTCGCAAGTCTCTTTGTCCAAGTACAAGTCAAGCTGCACATTATTTGTTCCAGCTGTAATCAGCAAAAAGAACCAGGCATCAGCTTTCGAGTTTAAAAAATATGTGGGGCCGGTCCAGTAGCATCTGACTTGGGTCGGTAACAAGTCATTTTTTGCAAGTCCAAGTCATTCACAAGTCAAAACTGGTGTTTACATGTACAAGTCAAGTCACAAGTCACAAAAATAGCAACTCAAGTCTGACCTGAGTCCAAGTCACATGACTCGAGTCAGCAACTCTGCTGTTTGCAGATTTTCCCAAATGTTTAAATTGAACTGCCCCTTTTAGAGGTTTAACATTTTGATTGACGCAAGTTGGCATTCATTTTAATTGTAAACGATGCCTGTTACATACTGTTTTTCCCCTTTCGGCATCCATGCACTTTTTGAGAAACAAATTCGAACGAATTCGGAAATAATAAACATTGCTTGTTTTAAATGCTCCAACTTCAGTCTACATTCTAACATAGATTGGACATTGTGCATTATTGAATGCTATAAGTATGCGTATGAAAACACCGAGCTAGGCAGCGGCGGCCTCTGTGAAATGTTGGCTAAACGTTTGACCCCTTGACGATGGGAATTTCTCCCTGAAAGCCGACTCCAAGAATTCCAGCCTCGCTTAGCCACAAAGGCCACCTGCCAAACCGCAAATTCTCGGTTTGTGGCTCTGCGTGCTCTGCATGCTTTGAATTACACGGTGAAAAGGCTGATTGTTCGGTGGCATGTGGCTCTACTCACCCTTCCACATTCCCGTTGCCTCTTTTCAAAGTGGAGACTATTGTGAAGCTGGTGATTATGATGCAAAATTGGTCTTTTCATTTCTGGGCTACGCACAAAGACCAATTACCATATACATGTATACAAGAGCCAGGGTCTGCCTTCTTTCAGTGTGGACCGAGAATAATAGCGGAAAAGCAGGCTGAGGATCTCAATTTTTACAGTGGCTATAGCTGCTTCCCGGTGCGAAGAGGGTTAAATGGTATGGGAAAGTTTTCTAAACTTTTTTCAAATTAGATGTAAATTCCCACCCATAGTCAGAGTTACAAACTTTAACCCCAATCCTGCCAGATGCAGCACAGTCCATCAGGTGAAAAAGTCTGATGCAGTTTGATACACTTGGCAATCAACAGCAGCCGAATAAACTGTCCAGGTTGACACAATGGGAGCTAGTTCCATTGAACTCTGCCGCTGTTGGATCTTGTGGTGACTGGCAACCACAGACTCCTAGGCTGTTTGGCCTTGGGGAGGACTGGCCTGTTGGATCTTGTCACACCGGGTAGGCAAGCCACTTTGACAAATGATGCAGTTGGATGCATCTGGCAGGGTTTCTAGCCAAAGTACTCTGGAGGGTTACGGTAATAATAAAAACAGTTTTAATTCCTGTGGCGACACCCATGTACATGTATAAAGCCATGCTGAGCCTTCGTTCCCTTTGAAGACTAAATTTGATGGAAACTGAAGCCTGAATTAAGTCAAGGCTGGAGATGAGGCTGCATTTTGAAAAAAGGAGGTTGACACGTTTTCCATCGTTTTAAAAAACAAACTTGCAGTGAGCCTTGCCCGAAGGGCCTGTACTTCACCTGGCACTCAGACTCCCACCTACTCAGGAACCAGCTGGACACTCACGTTCTTGGCCAGGGCAGGTGCCTCTCTGAAGACCGGGCAGGTACCGTGGTCGACTTCAAGTCAGCAGCATCCAAGCTGAGACATATTTGGGCGCAGGTGAGGATTCATTGCTTTGAAGCAGTATGCAGTTTTTCAGTTGAGATACGGATGGAAGGATTCCGCAGGGGGGGATTGAAAGAGGCTAGCAACATCTGTTTTCAGAAAAATTCTAGCCGTGGGATTTTGAGAATTTAAGGGAGTACATGTTGCTGGGATGCATGATGGGAGAAAGGCACCGTTTTTCGGATAGAGATTTAGTCTGTGTAGTGGGAATTTTGACTGAATCTGAACGTTATAGAGGTTGTGATGGAAAGCCTGATTGCGTCTCCTTACGCTGCATCTATCCAGTGTTCCACACAGGTTACAGCATACTGTTCTTACCCTTTCCTTGGTCTGATGTTGAATGGGGCCACCTGATGAGTCGTGGGTAGGCTAGCAGATACGTTAACCTCATGAACTGCTAATACTTTTTACAAGCAGTTATAATAGCATACTGTAGTGATTCAGAATGTTACGGTCAAGCCACTTCACATTGGGTTTATGCATCCCTATTCTTGCAGGGAGTATTTTCTCGGCAGAAAATGTGCAGTTTACTGTATATCAGTGGTGTGTTTTTGGTAACCCCGTCCCGAACCTTGATTTTGAACTGGAGTTCCTCAGTTAATCACGCATTGTTTATGTCTCATCCATTTGAGCTGTGAGGGGTCCACTGCCATTGTTCATTCCCAGTTTCGTGGTCGTCTTGACCATGCTGACTTTTGACCAACTCGATTACAAATCTGAGCATTTGCCAAGAAATCTTGCCATTTTTCTCCCTGGTTCATTGATCCCTGATATATTTTGCGTAGAAGCTACCACAGAACTTGGACTTGGACTCGGCAGTGAATTGTCAGGCCGCATCTGAATGGTGAATTTTGAGGTGCTTGGTGGCGGCAAGATTTCTCTCCAAACTAAAAACTTACCGTTACCTCTATTTTCCACTCTTTCTTCTCATTTGGGCAGAAAGCCTCACAGCCAGAGCTACAAGTCATCGCCAAGACCAGCCACGTGTCCACTGGAGTGTTGTTCCTTATCTGCAGTAATGGATGCGTGCACACACTCAATGGAGCTGAAGGTGCGGACCCTCTGGACTGAAAAATGCTGAAAACATTCTTTTGATTTTGCCAGAAAGATTCCAGAAAATTTAGTGGTGATGTTTCCTGGCCTTAGTTGTTGTTAACCCTAACCTTCCCTAACCACACAGAATTGAACACCAGTAAAGCGTGTGAATTTGTGGCACTGGGTACTGTACCCCTAAACTACTTGTGCTTTAACATGGGTTCAGGCATACCCAAAATAAACGGAGTCCAACAGTTTTTGTGCACAGTTTACCACATGGTGTTGGAATTTGTGTGAATGGGTATGGTTCCCAGTAAATCACTCTGGGGAGTTAGGGTTAATCAACTCTGGCTGACTGGCTGACATTTTGAGAGGAACCCTTCTGAACCATCCAAAATTCTCCTCTGTGCTGGAAATCAGCAGTCTATGATTTTTCCCTTTGGTACATGTAAAAGAGAAGTATCAAGTCCCATCATTGCATTTGATCTTAAATCAGCGGGGGGCAGACAGGCATCATAGCAAGTTGTATTGAATCAAGGGACTTTTAAGCATGGGCGTGACCTGTGCTTGAAGGTGGTGTGACTGCAGTAACGGGCTCTAATGCTGCCCGTTAGCTAATAGGTCATGTCCGGATTAAGTGGCTGCAGTTTGAAATTTCACATGGCTCTTTGGGCTATGGCTAGAGCTTGTACCATAGTATCATGTGTAATTTCAAGCCGCAGCCAAGTACTTCGGACCCAGCCTGATACTACGGCGGCTGTGAAGTCTCTAGTGTTTTCTCTCAATTTGTTTTCAAGGATCTCGGGGAAAGTTGGGTACGCGATTATTCCTGACTGCCATAAGCCCACGGCCAATTTCTTTTCCTACCCTCTAGAGTCATTGAATGCTCTGAAACTGCCTGCTTCCATCAACGTTGCGGACAGCACTGACTGGTTTGCGTACAGATTCGTCCTGGGAGCTGTCTTCAAAGATAACATGTTCAGGTAATCATTCAAAAATTCCGTCCATTCAGAAATGGCACAGAGTCTTTTGTTAATCACTTGGTTGCTTAGCACACACTAAGAGATGCCGGTTGCGCTTATCCATGGGATGTTTACATGTAGAGTGCTTCTGTTTGTTGGTACTAAGACGAAGCAAAAAAAGGGCCTCCACTATGTGTACGTAATACGCTATTGCTGCTATTTAAAACCAAACATTAACACTTGTTTATTAAATTCATCTTGAGCCTATTTTATAGAGCTGTGTGTGTGTGTGTGTGTTTGTCTAGAATATTCTTGTCAGTATAATAACTTTAGAACTTCTGTGCATATAAACGTACAGTATGGCTTGTTCATTACTGGTTTTGGTAATCCTATAAAGCTTTTTGGATTTGGGAACAAAGGGTCAAACGCGAAGGTCCCAATTGCTAAAAGAAAAGACATCTTGTCAGTGGTAAAACTTGAGAAATGCGTTATGTAGGAACCTCAAATTTGTGCTTGTACATTGTTTTTTGTAATCCCAACAAGCCTAAATTGCATTTAAACCTGCAAACGTCAAGGGTAGAGGTTGTAATTACATGTAGTCTTGTTAAATTGTGGTGGATACAATAGGAGGGCGCTGTTTGAAGTTGTTAAATTTGGAGTAAACACGAAAGATTTTACCCAAACCAAATAGTGCCCTTCTATCGTGTCCGTCATACTTTAACCAGGCTAAAGGTTCATAGAAAACAGATCTTGTGATCCAGAATTAAAGTTGTTGGTTCAGGCATGGGCTTGGCAGGGCTTTACTGTGTGCTTATACATCATTCTCGTTTAAATATGTGCTTGATAACTGCTTCAAATTGTATTATTGCTATCTTGGATAGCAGCAGTCAAGCTGAATAGAACGATTGCACCTGCTGAGTCACCTGACCTATAGTGGGTACAAACATCAGAATTATAGTGTCCTCCCGTAGCAAAGTGTGACTTATAAGTGTCATTTACTAAAACTAAAGCCAGCAGTGGGTAAAGTTCTCGGACTACTGATGTACTGAGTACCATACCAAAAATTGGCTTTATTTTGTTAAACAATATGCAGGCCACACTTTGCTATGGAAGGACATACCCATGTTTGATACCCACTTAAGGTCACGTGACTTATGATGCAATCAATCTATTGCGCATAGATTTGCCACCATCATCACAGAGAGCCGTCCAGATACATGTGCACTAAAAACTCCGAATGTTTATAGTTACATGCATTTCAACTTAAGATACCCAGTATTTACGTCGGACTGGCAACTTTGAAATCTGAAATTCCCTGCCGATAATTTCCGGTCAGAAGATGGAAGATTGTTTTCCACAGCCAACATTGCATGTTTTTACTGCTGGCGTGAACTGTGCTAGTCAGTAGCTGATCAGTACATCGTAGTACCTGACCATTCAAGTTTTGCATTCTGTTTGTATGTAGGGTCGTGAGTAACACAACAGGAGTATTGCTGCAGGAATTAGACTTGTCGACGGTCTTCTCAGGCATGAACTTCAGGTTTTGGACCATCATGGGAATGATACCAAGAACAGGCATCTGGAGCTCTAAGGGAATCTGGGTTCTACAGGTAGTGATGTTCTGACTGAAAATACTCCAACTGGCAGGAGATTCAGAAGGATTACATAAGAAAGTTTTTATTGTTGCATATGATCTGAAATATAATGTATGTACATGTAGAATTCTACATGTGGGTATGCTATGCAAAACAATAACAAATTCAACTAGTTGGAAGTTGTGCACTTTAAAAATCAATTGGATAGAGTTTATTAGCAGGATATCAACAGTATCTAGAAACATATAAAAGGCCGAAAATACTCAGACTGGCAAAGTTTTCACAGGAGTAACAGAAAGATTGTATTGTTGCATTGGGCTAAAATATAGGTCTGTAATGGAAGAGCAAGAGATTCCACTTCTACTATTTGGCAGTTCAAACTGTTAACAGTCAACATAGTTGATTAGCAGAATATTGACAGTACCCAGATTGAAAAATTGTACAAGACCAACACAGACAGACAAGAATATCGTACATGTAATGCAGTGTAATGCAATTTTTTTCTTGTCCATTTACTTGGACATTACCGGTACTTGTAGCTGTTGTTACCATAAAATGCACAGTATGTTTTACCCTTAAAATTATGGAAAGATGAATGGTTAGAAAGTGGTTCTGAGGAGAACTGGTGGGAAAATACTAATGTTTCTACCAGTTTGTTCTGGGATAAATCGGCTGTCTTCAGTGCAACTTTGTAATTAACCAATTTGAAATCTTTTTATGCTGCGTGTACAGTGTAGCAGTGACTGAGAAAAGCAAACTCGACCTTTTGTAAAATCCTACCAATTTGGAACTTGAGGGATATTCAATAGATATCCGTCCATGTTACCAGTGAACCTTTGCCATTTGACATCTCTGCTTATTCATCAATAGATGGATAATATTGAGTCTGTCGTGTCGGCAATGGGCCCTACAGAGGCGGCCGCAACCCTGCACAGCTTCAACCAGGATCGGCTGGCAGGCCGCACTGCCCTCCAGGGGGCTTATGAGGCATACTCCGGCCAAAGGATTGGTGAGGGAGCAGGCAAGGGAGTGGCTGGTCCACAGCATGGATTCCAGAATCCAGGCCTGATGGTGTCTGTGCTTCAGGTAGGCAATTTGATTTATTAGAAAAATAATTACTTCGGTGAACTCTCCCTTGCCTAGCACACCTGACTTCAGCTTTCTGAACTGGGGTTCTTGGCCAGGCCATACAAGGATTTTGGGCATTCCTTTATGTGCCAAACCCCAACAATGAGTAATAAGTAAATGGGTAATTTCAGAAATAAGGGGTCCAAAAGTGTGACATTTTTGTGTCCCTGTTATACCTGACCATTGTCATTTGACATGGAAATATCACCAGAATTGATTTCAAACTATTACTATTTGTTTGGCAGGTAATTTGCATTTATTCATCACTCTTGAAAAATAGAAAATGTATTCTGAACTTACAAGACCATATGTCAGATAAGACAAGGACACAAAAGAAATGGACCCCTAATTTCTGGAATTACCCAAATTGCTTGACTAAACAATAGCAGCAGTATGCCAATAGTTTTCCTTACACTGACGACTTTCATAAAACTAACAACTTTTGTGAAGTTATAAAGCCACAGTTCTGAGTTTTAATGGCTGAAATTGTGCACAAACACCTGAGTCAGTACAAATCCTGAATTGATGAAGTTGTCTGCTAACCCAAAGCGGAGTGGGTTACAAACAGGTTGCAGTGGTAGATCTGGCAGATAATTACAGCGAGGGTAGACTGGCAACGTGCAGTGTGGATAGACTGAGCAGATGGTTACATCACCTTCCAGGTTACCAAGATAAACAATGAAATCCCGCTTTCAGAGGGAACCAGAATTGTAAAAGAGAACTTTGACCCCATGGCTTGTTTGTGTTACTTTGGCAACCTACATGTACCATAGCGCTATATGCAAGAAAGCTGCCATGACAGTTAACCAATTCATATGTATGTACATCTTGCGCAGGCAAACACAAATGTAACATGTGACATAACTTAGCAAAATGTGTTTGAAGTTGTCAGGGCTACGGTACTTTCAGATGTGAGGCCCTTCAGAGCAATCTTTCACAAGGCAAAATCTACAGGAACCCTCAGTAATTTTTCACTTTTCGTAATCATCAGCCAGACTGAGTGATGCATCAAAAGAGTCCATCTCAAGTTTGTTCCTTTTAATGCAAACTGGAACAAAATGACTGCAAGTATCGCCCCAACAATGCATTTTTTGGAATCTTGTCACATACATTTTACCATGGCAAGTACTCATGCTGGGTGGGTTAGGTTGACATGGATACTAATGAGTTAAATGATTTTTTGTAATCCCTGACGAAGGGAGCTGAGGCTGGCCACAAGCCCCAGGCTAGCCAAGCACTCCAGTCACTGTACGAGAGGAGGGAGGAATGCATGGAACCAGACACCAGACTAAATGCGACTACCCAACCCTTGCTGCAGCAGTACTGGGCATTGCACCAAGAGAAGCTTGGCATCTGGGACAAGAAATCCAACGTTAGTGATGCTTAAACTTCTTAATAATTATGGTGACATCTCTCCTTTTTGTCTGATTGAGCCATCTCCTGCTTCAGACTTCCCTCTATTTGATTTCCAGTTGCATTGTCATTATGAAGGTTCCATTATACCTGTAAATTATTTCAACAAAGTTTGCATCAATATTATAATTATTAGAAAGAATGCTGACTTGCACATTCATGACTTTTATTTGTTGTTCTTTCTTTCTTTCTTTATTCCACATTCTAGGACGGATTCTATATTTTGATTTTGGATATATTAGCTGCCTTTCAGAGTCTGGAATCACCTTGATTTAGAATAAGATTTTCTCTAAATAATGCATTTTCTCCCAGTTTTTGCATTTTTATCCAACTGTTCAACTTTGAAATAAAAAATTTGCATATTCCATAACTGATCAAATATTCCACTAGTCTGATGTTTGGCACAGCCCTGACACACAGCAACACGAAGAAATGACAGGTACCACAAAAAGTAGCCGATACTTACAGCATTCAAGAAGAAGTAGACATGACGGGATTGATGTTAAACATAAATATACTGATACTTGTCAATACATGTAATTTAACCCCTTCGCTACGGATGACTGCTTCTACCGCACCTTTGTGTGAGTAGCTGCTGGTTCAATGGGGCCTGCTGCGGGACAAAGCCCTCCATTCATGGTATGCCGCAGCCCAGCAGTCACGGTCAAAATGACCCCGTCGTGAAGGGGTTAACCTGTGAGATGAGTTTACGTGTACATGTCGCTTTTTTCATTGTGGTCTGTAAAATCCTTCGCAAATTTTCCGAATAAAAAAGTTCCAGAACATTGGAAGCATCATCAGATTGCCCTTGATCAGGTGTTAATGAAAAATTAATTTCCCGCCAAATTTATCGGTGTCTTAACGACCAAATAAAGTGGTCATTTCAACATGCACATGGATTATGAATTATTTGAAATGATATTTGCACCTATCAGGAAGCTCAGAGGCCGTTCACAGTTCAGGAAGTAGTGTGCCGATTAGTGGATAGCTCCTCCCCCCTCTCTGTGAATCTCAAGAAGTCGGAGATGAATTTTCTCTGTCTCAACGCCCCTGTGGCAACGCTGGTCACATTGCTAGATGCCCTGAACCTTGGCACACTTGACGAAAATGGTAAGTCATTCGGGGCAATGGTAACTCCTGAATTACTTTATCAAAAGTTCTTGTCCTTTTACTGGGAACAGAGGTTTCCGTGAAGGGCCCAACTTTAGAGAAATGCAAAGTCACAAATACAATGTCTCTCTTTATGCTAGCAGCCAAGAGATTAAAATGAGCAAACCTCTAAATTCTGTGGTCACTGTAAGGCACCATTTCACAATTCCTATCGGGAAGGTGTCGGACAGAATGGTCCGACTGATACATTTATTATCAGTTGGCTATCAGGTTAAGTGTTCTCAAGTGGCCAATCCTAACTGATAACTGCCTCTACATTGCATTACTCCCAAGGCTATGTGGTTTCAGTGGAGCAACACCCTTTCCATTATTCACTCAACACAAGTCACTGTTATCGGTCGCATGGCCCTGTCCTCTAGTCAAAAGATAGGGAATTTTGAAATGATGCGTAAGCAATTTCTAAAACCAGGCGACTGCATTTTGGACTCCTGAGAGGCTTACATGCACCACATGGTTATTGTGGGCTTGTGCACATTCTGTTGAAATTTGATTGATTATTGTAGCTTGGTATGCACACCAGGATGAGCCAATGCATAGATGGGTGGTGGTGTTTCTCCTACAGCATCAAAGTTAGCTTCTGATTGGTCAGTGAGAAGATGCTGATACAAAACCTGTCATTGGGGATGATGGGTTGCTATCATCGCCCCTGACTTTGGGTGCAATATTGCTAGCAACGGAGGCTCCTTTGGTAGTAACTGTATATCGTGGTTCAAGAACGACTGTGAAAGGCAAGTGTTGCATCGCATCGTTGCTACCAAGAAAATGAATACCACCGACCAACACTCCTTTTTCCAACCGACTAGATGTTCCTGCTCAGGATTAACAATATTCATCTGTGTCCTATTTCAATAACAGGTCACATCAATTTCCAGACACTCCCTCTGGACGAGGAGGAGTTGGATCCATCTCTTCCCCCCGTCTCATTTGGAGTTCAGGCCCCAGAGTCCGAATCAGGACTGCCACTGTTTGAGATAATTTGCACGCTCATGTTCAAAGAATGCCCCACCCAACTGGTAAGCGGTAATACAAAAAAAAAATAACACGTCCTTTTTCAATTTTCAGTCAGCATATTTCTTGTTCGTCTAGTGATTGTGAACAGACTTTGGAAATTCAGAACAATAATAAGGGCAAGTGTGAATGTCAGCATGGACATACACGCAAGGTAAACATTTTGGGGAACCCATTTTTGGATCTGAAAAACAGTGCCCTTAATATATGGTCACAAATCAAAGCCTAGTAGGAAAACACCCCCAGTAAGGTAATGTGAACCTAATGGAGGACAATTGTGGCCTTCGTGATTCTTTATCGCAGGATCAGGGGCTGAAAGACTGGTGCGGGGGCGTTATGTTGTGTCCTTGGGCAGGCTACTTTACCCCAATTTTCCTCTTTCCATCGAGGAGTGTGAATGGATACCTGCAATGGCCTTGGAGCAACCTACAATGATTACTCTCTTTGGCCATCTAATCATGCCAAGAGGAAATGGAAATATCCTCCATTATATTTTGCGAAGGAAACCAGACAGAAATCCCAGTCTGATAAACTGTATTTGTTCAGCACGTGCTTGACTGGGTTGGAACAGGTATGCATGTTTTCAGCATGTGGCCGTGCATTTTCAACTGTCGAAGACCTTAGCAACAGAATGCTATGCAGCCTCTGTGATTTATCTTGTCGGTTTTACCACAAAAACACCTGTCTCAGTAACCACTTGCCAGAAACTAACCTGTCTTGTGCACAAGGTCTGTGCACAGTGCAACATTCCCTGGTCTGTTCTTATTGAGACAGGTCACTTTCTGGTAAGACCAATGACCAACTGGACTAACCCTTGTGTTGCTTCTTAGGTGGAGTTTGTACACTTGTGCCAGCAGGCAAGAGATAAAGTGATGGATGCCTCTGCCTTCTCAAGAAAGAGATCTGCTGTAAGTTGTACCTGTAGCTTCAATCAACTGAAGTCTCCATCATCCAAGAAAAGTGAAACATTACTTTTCTTCAGTCAAAATGTACTTGAATTCTTCCCACACACACACTGTACCAAAACTTCAAGGGACTTTTACTAGGGACCTTTTGGAATTAGAAATTTGACGAGGCAGTGAAGCTTTTTCACAATGTTGTGCTTACACAGTTATATTGCTGTTTTTGTGAATCGCAATTAAAAAGCACCTCCCCTTAGTTTAAAATGGTTGCACCTGCCTCTGTCATTCCCTGCAGGTTCAGCTGTATGATGTTGCACTTGGCAGCTTGCCAGGACCGGACCATTCTAGAAACCAGGAGGGTGCAGTGCTAGCCACAGCAAAGCTATTGCAGCTCAGGTATTTGAGTAGCTGTTCATTTTATTTTCTTATGTACAGTTGGATATAACTTGGTTAGTTGATGTGGTCTCTGTGTAAGAACACCACGGTGACCCTTGACAAAGTGATAGACACACCATTGGTGCTGAGCACGCATTGTCAATGCAGAAATGCTGTAGTTTTGTGCTCATTCCGATGAAAATTTTGTTTTACAAATGTGTACATAGACTAGTGTACACACAAAGTGTAGCCCACAGGCTGAAGCTTTCTTGTGGATTGAATAACATTGTTTACTGTTATTGTTTGCAGTTATTGTTTACGGTCACACATTACAGTGGTCATTGTTGCAGGTCAAGTCCGTCACAAGTCCCTACAACTCATTCACTGGCCATCCAGTTACAAGCCAAATAACAAGCTAATTGAATGAAATGTGACAGAAGCATTGTTTTGTCACTGTCAACCATGTCAACTGTGACTGGCACTGTGAATGGACTTACGACTTGTCTTGTGAAAGAACTTGCAATGCACTCCACTGCAACAGACGTCGTCTATCCTCTCTTCCGACTTTACATGAAATGTCACCAGTAAAACCTTACCGCTAAATTGGTACGGTCTTGAAGGTCTTTGAAAGGTGTCGACTGCGAAGGAAGGTTTTGTACTCTGTGTGCAAGTAATGTACACGTGCTTTCATTTCCCTCCGGGCAGTTTAACGTCGCACGGAGCTCTGAACGCCTTGAAGCTGCTATTGAAGTACAAGTTGTGGTCTGAAGCCATCGGTCTTGTACAGGAGAACGCAGATAACACACAGAGGCATTCCGAGCTCTACCATGTCTTACTGATGGCCATCCTACAAGTATGTACTGGGTAACCGTTCACATGTATGTATGAGTAATTCTCTTAATCCCGTCGCTTTGTGTGAGGATTAGTGCATACCACACATACAGTCTGTTCACCATGCAGCTGCTGGTTCAATGGGGCCTGCTGATGGACAAAGCCCTCCATTCAGGGCAGCTGGGTGGATATGCGCACATTACAAGTCTTTATTGTTATTATTTTTATTATTGGAAATGTCGTTAGAGATTCTAGATCTCTCCAACCCTTCTTCCTTTTCTCCCTCTTCTTTCTTTATTTTGATGTACAAGCAAAGAATAACGTCTTTGAATGCGATGCGTGTTTGAGCTGCCCAATGTTTTTTTGTTTACACAGAACAGGGAAATAGTGCCAGAGTATTACGAGCGGCTTTGGGCTTGTCTTCCTCAGAAAATCAGGTGTGTGCAGTACTATTTCTGTATTGATTGAGAAGATCACTGACACATGCTTTGGAGGAAGGTGACATTGATGTTGTAATCTGTAGTACAAATGTTTTATATTCAACAGTGACCTCAACTGAGGATAACTTGCAGTACTTGCAATCTTTTATCAAATATCTTGTGTCCTTTGAGACAGTAGCATCATCACTGATGCCTTTAGCTAACAAGTGCCCCCCACAAATTTCTGGTGCCCCCAGGTCCGCCCCCCCACTGAAAAAAAAAACGGATGAATTGACATTGAACAAGACTAACAAAACGTCGCCCCCAAAAAACACACCACTGAAAGCTGGTGCCCCCCATAAGATGCTGGTGACCCCTTTGCACCCGCGCACTAGTAAAATCCTAGCTACGCCACTGAGACTGTTTACATATTGAAGTCTGAGCTTAAATGCTTGGGCAGGGAATATTCTAGAACAGTGAAATGTCTTTTAAAGAGTTCCTAGACATTTTCCAACTCAGTAGCTAACTGGTTTAAACATCGTCTCTTTGGCATCAATGTAGACTCCAAATTTAGTGTTTATCAGGAAGAGAATTAAGAAAAACACACCATGCCATGGAGCCACCCACAATCCTTTGCAGCATGCTAGAAGAGGTTTTGTGATTGGTGAGAATGTGCTAAGTGGGTTACATGATGGCCCTTCCAAATATGGTAATCCTCTTTAACCAAATATGAAATGGTCAAATCTTTTATTCTCTACCAGCTCTCTGGAATTTCTGAAACTACTGACCACCCATCACCAGCCCAGCAATCCCAGAATCCACCTGTGCCAGCAGGTGCTTTGCCGACCCCAAGATGACCTCCAGATCGGCATGGTCAGGGATCAGCTCATCAAACTGTTGGGCCGCAAGAAAGTCAAAGGTCGATGAAGAGCGAAGGTTGTTCAAGCGTACTGAAATACTTATCATATACTGCCACGGTAATACGGGCGATTCACAATAGTGCGCCACCAAGAGTTTGCAACACGTTGGCCAATCATAACGCACGAAAGTTGTCCACCCTTTCCAAACGCGCATTGGGTCGACAAATTTCGCGCATTGTGATTGGCCAAAGCGTTCCAAACTCTTGGTGGCGCACTATTGTGAAACGGCCGTATTCTGGCCTGGTGCTTACGTTCCTTTGAAATATTGGTGTGTGAGTAGCCATTGTATGAGGTCAGCTTTGTGCTGGCGTTCATCACCTTGAATAGTATTGTGACTATAAGTATTATTGTAATCCATCACTGATTACGCTATTTTGGAAAGCTCTTGCTTAAGCAAGTGATGTCTGTGTTTAAAATTAGGCTTGAGACAAGTTGGAAATTCAACAAGAAAATCCTCTCAGCACTTGATGTCAAGTTTTTTTTTTTGCATTTTCAATAACATATTGGTCCCACATGTACCAGTACTTGTGTGTGGACCTGTTTGGCAGTTTACACCTGAAAACTCCAAAACCCTGAAAATTGAATCACCAATACAGCCTAAACTTTTCAACAAGACAAAAAAAACACTGGCCCATGATAAGTTACAGTTTCTTAAACTTGTTTTGAAGTTGAAATCGGTACCACTGTCTCAATTTCAATAGTACATGTATATGTTTTATGTTATATTGCATATTTAGCTCTACATGTGCCTCGTTCTCTTAGTGGTGTGACACTGTATAAAATATGCCCCAATCATCAATGTATATGTCTGAATTAACTTTTAAAATGTATGAGGCAAGTCCAGATTTCAGCCATTGCATTGTCGACCCCAAACATGCCAAAGGAGAAGCAGTTCTTCCAAGAGATATTTCTCTTTTTCAGTTCTCGATCTAGCATTTGAAAATATTAGCTGCAGTAGACTCTCTCCATTCTGGCATACAAAGCAATACAGTAGACAAGTTGTCAAACATCGCACCACAAGAGGATAGAGTTTCACATCTTCCATGTCGTTGCTACCATCAGTAGCTAAACTATCTAGCCCGGTCTGCATAGCTTGTGTGATCTTCATCTCACTATCCCTGGCCAAGGTTTGGATTCTAGACTATGTTTTTGTCTGCCCTGAATGGAACTCTTTTGCTATAAGGAAACATCTTATGAAGCGCATGACCCATGTGGTCAGCCACAGTGAAAGGCAAATCATATTCTATTACAAAGGTGGCAAAGCATGCCCCCCTATTAGTTACACTCAAATCTTGGGAAAATTGCGAGAACGATGTCAGTTTGGGGACTCCGTGAACACTTCCAGCAGTTTTGCAATGCTTGGCCGAGTTCACGTGTAACACAGTCGCCACGTCCAGCATGAGAAGCAGTAAAATCAACATCACAAATGTTACACTTAGTAGCATCACTTGCTCTGCTAGGTCCTATACAAAGGAATTCTTGTTGATAAATGTACATGTACTTGTTCAAACGTCTTTGGTATTTTTTTTCCCCGATACTGTCTTTGCTGATGCCATATTTCTCTTGTAAAAACTTGCGCCCTTGACACGATCTTAGCCGATTTCACTGCAAGGTTGAGTCTTGTTGTGGACCCTCTACTTGGTTCCAAAACGTTACTCTGTCAGTAGTGATACTGGGTGCAGCGCAATGCGACGCATACAGTGTTGGTTACAATGTAGCTTGTTGGTAGAAGGCGTTTTATCATGTGATCACATTCAACTCGTGGCAAGAACAATTCAAAAGAGGGCACTGTCACAGACGTGGTGCATTATACAAAGCGGTACAGTATATGTACCAGATTACATGGATATTTTCCGATAAATGATCGGCTTATCAAAATTGCGATTAGATGGAAATTTTAGGGGCAAAATCAGAATGGCGGAAACAAAGAGAAAAATCGGAAAGGTTGAGAGGTCTGTAAAAGGGCTGAGGGTCAACCTGAGTCCATCCACATGCAGGTGGGCTACGAGACTGGTTTGCCACACAATGTATTTTTCACGCTATCACTCACCAGCACACATGTACAAAGTACTGTAAATTTGATTCTCTATTTCAATTCAAATAATTCTCAAAGAAATGAAGGATTTTACAGCACATGTACAATCATGACACTGATCATAAACTGAACGTATACCAAAGAAATAACTAGATTAAATTATTTAAAAGGTTACTCCCTATTTTGTTCAATGAAGTATAACTGTACATTTTTTTGATGTTCGCGGGCCAAACACCTGAAAACATAAAAAATAAAAATATTTGCTTCTCCACACTGTGTGGTTTTTATTACATGGAGTAATTAAAATTTGTTCTGGAATTGTATGAACTATCTTTACCAGTGTTGGTTAAGAATATTTTATGATTATAAACTGTTACATCAAATGTCTCTATTAAAGTCGCAGTCAAATAAAAAAGTACAAATTTATGATGCTTGATTCGGTTTATTGTTGAACTAATTGGGTGTCTCCTGTGTTCTTGAATTGTTAAAGGGCAAAAGTGGAATTGGCATTCCATTAACCAAACTAATTATTCGTCATTTGTCAAGGAACAATTACAAAAGTGGCAAGAATAGGTTGTTATATTACCTTTTACTTGAGTTTTTTTGGGGTGAAAAGTTTTTGCCACAAATTTCTGAACAATGAAGAGCTCAGTAATAAAATGACAATTCCACTTTGACCTTAAACTTGATACATTAAAACCTGCTGAAATAAGACAGCAGATTCTAACTGGGAAAAGCAAGTCTGGAGGGTTAAATAGCAGGCAGACTCAGTGTCGAGTGATACAAAAACTAAAGAGCATTTGGTGCCAAGAAAATGTTGCAAAAATGTCAGAGAACAGTGATGTCTCTGGGATCTCGCAGAGTTTGAAGGTTGAAAAAACTGGCAATAAAGTTTACACATACATATACTTACAAGTATATTACAGACAATTCTTCGAGTTACAAATAGCATCAGGGGTTAGGGTTTCAGCCGAGATTTAGTGCAAGTCACTATCTTGGTTTCGGCATGGTTAGGGTTAATTAAAAGTAAAAGGTAAGCTGCATTTTCACTAATAAGTAAACATAAATCATGTTATTGAATAAATCAGGCAGAATCTGTGGGTGTTGTATAACCAGCCCCCCCCCTCAATCATCCATGGAACATTCTGTTTTCCTGTGGTTTCATTGTGTAGAAAACACACGGTCCCTGTAACTATGAACAAACTGGGGAAAGGCCTTGCTGTGCTATCTACACTTTTGCATGGACTCTTAAGGGTCATGCTATTTAGTGTCAAAGCGTCAGCAAGCGTCAAGTTATTCAAGCATATTGATGCAAAACAAATTATATTTACAATATTAACTGGGCATCTACATATTATATTCATTATATCACATTTATCTGAAGTGATATTTGAGTGTGGAAATTTGAGTGACAATGTCGGTTCTGCTCGTGCAGCCAAACGGGCCGCCATCTTGTATTCGCGTGGATGCCAGAAAAAAGAAAGATGGCAG